CACACATTGTTCTGTCACGTTGTCACCCTCTGATATATATACCAGACTACCCTATATCTAGTAATCTCCCGACTATTCCCGAAGGTTCGAAAGAAGTGGCGTGACACTAGTCACGTGACCTCGCTGACGCAACAATACATTTTTATTCAAACTAAATCTTATTGAAGATCTTTAGAGTTGAAGTGAAACAAATACAACTTTGAGCCAGAATCCAAAAGTCATACTAAACTTTTAACTACGTTACTGTTAAAAATATTCAGTGCAAAAACACAAGAGAAACAAAAATCATATAATGAACAACGTGGAATTTTCAAGATAACGTTTACTTTAAACCTCGTTGCCCAGTTAACTGGGAGATTGAACTTGTTTTTATATTTTGTATTCACTGGGGCCATTGTGTTTGATTCAGTACATGAGCGATATCTCAGCAAATAGAAAATATAAGAGGTTCTTATTTTATATTCTACCTTGTCAATATTGGTAATGTGAGTTCCTAATTCATACAAAACTATAGACTTTGTGTTTTGACACCACAAAAACATCTAATGCTGCATTCAACATATCCATGTGACACACAGAAATCAATGTTTAGGTTGTCTGCCACCGTCCCTATTTTTGAAATACTGAGATGAGAGAAAGCAGCCAGTCAGCAGCACCCTACCACACACCATCCACAATAAGTGATTGACTGTCTCTCTTATAATGGACTCACAGATTAAAATGCGGGGAACATTTTATTGTATCACACGGATTCGAATCCAGCTCCCCAACTTCAAATTCCCCATTAGGTTCAAAAATATATTGCTTTTCTTCACCCATGTTTTTTCTAAGCTGTGCTATCGAGTGAGAAGGAAATTGTGTGATTTTGAATGCTTCTTTTTCTTTAATTTGTGTTTTCTCAAGTTGTGCTGTCAAATAATGGCGCAGAAGATCACAAGATTAATGCTTTAGTTTCTGGAGATTTGCATACTGATACAGTTATCTTAAAATTTCCCTATACTATTCTACCTTCTCAAAATTATGATGTATCCAGGAGCACATTTCACACCTTACAATATACTGGGCTTCAAGTTACTCACTTTTAGCAAACCCATGACTCTATCGTTCACTTTAATTATGTGGAACCCAAGATCCCCAGTCCAGCATGGTAACACCTACGTCACTCTCCACCCAAGTCACAGAGAAGCTAAAAAAATGTTATTACAAGGCAAAACTGCTTATTAGAAGATGACCACCATACTCTAAAACTTACGTCACAAAGAAGCGAACAAAATGTTATTCCAAGGCAGAGCTGCTTATCAAAAGAATTTTTATCAAATAAGTTTGTTGTTAAGCGAAAAGCTACACATGGGCTATCGGCGCTGTGCCAACTGCAGGTATTGAAACCCGGGTTTTAGAGTTATAAGATCTCTGACTCACCGCTGAGCCACTGGGGGAATATCAAGCAAGACGTGACCATAACGTTGTCCTTAATTTTTTCCAGATAAAGCGTTGTCTATTAAAATAAATGTGATATATCTTATATCAAAACTACAAAAATTCTATTCGTTTTAGCCGTCCCTAATTTTTAACTTCTAATTGAATAGTGGGATTTGACCATCACACTTAAAACACATCCACGGCCCCAAATCGTTGAGCGCAATGTTTTTTTTTTCTTCTTCTTCTTCTTGTTATTTTTTTCTGTAATGTGACCCTAATCATTAGGGCCACTCTTACTTTATCATGATATTTATGGTGTTTAAACAGCAAATCTTAATAAGGGTCACTATTGTTTGTTTGAAGTTAAGCATAAAGCTACACAATGGGCTATCTGTGCTCTGCCCACCACGGGTATCGAAATGCAGTTTATAGCGTTGTGACTCTGCAGACATACCGCTGTACCACTGGGGGGCAAGTGTCAGTAACTGTGGTTTTCTAATATTGAAACCTAGTACGACACCTAGAACCTATGACATAATTCTTACAGCTCTTTAACTTTAAAATATAGTTGTAAGTTACTAAAATAAAAATTTACAGCTGTAAGTTTTTAGGAAAAAAAAATACAAAAGATTTTATGTTTTCACGAGAAGAGAGTTCGATCGTACAAAGAACACATTACGAGAGGAAACCGATTTCGATAAAACCTGACTCAGAATCCTAAATCAGAGAACAACTGCAGAAAACATAATATTTTCCTTTATCAGCACAAGACGGATGGAGGCTTTGTAAAAGAAGGAAAAAGTTTTCGCATACGAGCTTGCAGAGAAAATGGAAATTTTCTTTAAAAAGTAGATTTTTTTTCACGATAAAATATTACACATTTTCCAAACGGAATTTTATGAGTCTGATTGACTTTGATCCACAATAAAACGTCAAGGAAATGTCTACTCCAACATTGCCTAAACAGCCAGTGATCCTCCGAGAAATGAATTTTCGTGCTGCATTGCTAGTTTGTCAAAAAATGAGCTCAAGGGACTTGCTTAAACACTATGGATCGCCAAATCGGCTTATCAGATGGCAAGGCAACTGAAATAAGTACAACAGAACTATTTGACAGCGGCAAATTTGAGCAACTTGCCAAATCCAATAAAAATTCCTTTGTAGAACTTGAAACCCAAACGAATTTCCTTGGAGAGATTTATCTTTACGTAAAATACATAAAACCTATAGTAATCCTGATCGTCCTAACACAAACATGGCTACCAAAAAGATATTCCATTCCGATTACTCCTTATGTCATGGCCCGGCATGGCCAGGTGGATAAGGCGCTCGACTCGCAATCTGAGGGTCGCGGGTTCGAATCCCCGTCACACCAAACTTGCTCGCCCTTTCAGCCGTGGGGGCGTTATAATGTGACTATTCGTTGGTAAAAGAGTAGCCCAAGAGTTGGCGGTGGGTGGTGATGACTAGCTGCCTTCCCTCTAGTCTTACACTGCTAAATTAGGGACGGCTAGCGCAGATAGCACTCGTGTAGCTTTGCGCGAAATTCAAAAACAAAACAAACAAACATCCTTGAAAAAGGGCATCATTCATAGAAAAAAACGTAATATATATATATATATTAATTTTCAGATATATGATTGGAAAAACTATGTTTAAGCGGAAACCAGAAAAAAAAAAAGTGGTTGAGCGTGGCTTAGTTAGTTAGCATACCGGACTTTGAATCTGAGGTTCTATGGTTTACATCTTGTTGCCGCAAAATCGCTCTCTGCGCTTTGAGGCCGTAGGTACATTATAAGTGTGACGGTCAAAAGAGTTGGTGGTAGCTGCTATTGAGTAGCTGCTTTACCTCTAGTCTGTCATTTCAAAAATAACGGACGACTTGCGCAAATAGCTCTTATGTAGCTTAGCGCGAATATCGAAACAAACAAACAAATAGAAAAAGAAACAGTGATCATTTAGCTTTGTGCTTTAATAACAAAAACAACAACTGATACTACAGCATCCGTATCTTAAAGTAAACAGTGATTGTTTAGCTTTGTGCTTTAATAACAAAAACAGCAACTGATACTACAACATCCGTATCTAAAAGTAAACAGTGAGGGGCATAAACTAATGTGTTTACAATACACGTAAAAACAAAATATTTTTTATATCTATATTTTGTAAACTGTCTAAAATCGGGCGATAATTGCTGCACAACAGAAATTGTGTATTTTACTCTACACGGTTTTTCACTAATGGCGCCTGCTGTGGTTGCATAGCAGCAGCACACGTTTTACTTCAACAATAGTTTGCTTATTCATGGTATTGATGTTTCAGTTGGCCATTAAACTGCTGGCTGTGAACGCTTTGTGGATTTTATTTTGTCGTGGTTGATCTCGGATAGGTTTTAATCAACTTGAAGTTGGAAAAGCTTCCTTCTTCACTGTGGATGGTGATAGGCAAAGCCAGCACAAGCCTCAGTGCAACAAAAGGGTAAAAAAATGACGATGTTAATCTGTTCTTACACATGTATTCTAATGCACGTTTTGAAGCCATTTAAGTCACTCTCCACGAGAGCCTGCAATTTCGTCAAATGGTTCTGTTGTACTTAGTTCAATTACCTTGCAATCTGATAAACCAACTTGGAGATCCATAGCGTTTAAGCAAGTCTCTTGAGCCAATTTTTTGACGACAACGAAGCACAAGAAATTGAACAATGAACTGTGTTCCTATAGTTGCTGAAGGTGTTTTCTCAAAGAATCACTGGCTGTTTAGGCAATGTTTTTGTAGAAATTGCCTTGACGTTGTACTGTGGACCAAGGTCGGTCGGGCTCATAAACTTCCATATGGGAAATATTTCCTATTTTATCGTGAGAAACTCTGTTGTTCTTAAGAAAATTTCCCAGTGTTTCCATTTTGTCAGCAAGCTCCCTTGCGAACACCATTTCCTGTGCAAAGCCTTCATTAATATTGTGCTGAGGAGTGGAAATATTTTGTTTTTTGCAATTGCAAAATAGCTCATGGCATGTCAAAATCAGCTCTTGCAGTTGCTTGCTAGCGAAGTTGATCCAATACAATCATATCATACCACAAGACTAGCCACAAATGTGACACTTAGCATCTTAGCAGTGATAATATTTACTTCAAATTACAACTTTTATAAAAAACATTTTTTTTTTTTAGAAAGCATGCAGAAATAAAGCATTCCACAAATGTTTAACTATTACACGTAATGCTGATGTTTTTAGATAGAATATTGTAAGAAGAAAAACCATATTCTTTCGCAAATTTATTTTCAAACTAAATTTATACTTGTTCTTTCTTCAGCAAAACTACATTCTCCTGGTGAACACAGTGATGAAATTGTCCACATACCAGAAGAATTCATAGATTCAATATCATGTGAAATTATGTCCCTTCCAGTTTTACTACCATCTGGCCACACCATTGACCAGTCTACTTTAGATAAATACATTAATGTGGAAGCATCTTGGGGTAGACTTCCAAGTGACCCTTTCACAGGAATAGTATTTCGCAAAGGATGTACCCCTCTCCCTAACTCAGCTCTGAAGGCAAGATTGGATCTGTTTTTGATAAAACATGGAGATCAGTTTAAAGATGTTGGTCGGACTGTTGGACATTCAAGCCGCATTCACCAGCCAGTTTCTGATAAGATACGATGCCAATCTTTAGTTAATACCGTTTTTAATGTTAAAGCAAGTAGTTTGTGTGAACTTACATCGACTGGAAAAGTAACTGAAGTCAGTCAAGGCAAGCTTAAATGTAAAAGATCAGTCTCTCCAAATATTCCTCAAGGGGAGAAATATAGAAAATTGGAGCTCACCAGTGTTCGTCTTGATAACCGTGCACCTAGTGTAGAAGTGGAAAGTTCAACATATAATGTCCAAGAAGAGAATAACCATGAAGAACGTCTTTCAAGAAGCTTGGATGAAGCCTTACAAGCCACACTTAACTCCCTGACATTAAGAACTTGTTCATCAAATGCGTTACAACATCAAGGAGAACGCTCCATTCATAGCTCAACAAAACATGGTGACTGTGGTCATTGTGATGGCACTACTTTAGTTATTTATCGCCTTCCTTGTAGCCACGTGATTTGCAGAATGTGTTTAACAACAACAGCTAATCGAAATATCTGTACACATTGCAAACAACCTTTTCAGTCTAGTGATGTTACTAGAGTCTTTCTATAGTTAAAATCTACTTGTATGAGTATTATATGTAAAACTAAAAAATAGTGAAAGAACAAGCTAATATTTTCACTCTGATATTTAAAATGTTACCATAAATGTTTTATGTTCTGTCAGTGTTCATTTAGTAGAATAAATAAATGAACATTATTTTTATCTTCCAGAATTAAAATATCAACTGTAATTCTTAATCCAGGTTGGCAAATAACATTAAATGTTTGTCTTGAGTACTTGAAAATATGTAAATCACGTGCTCTGAGGATTGAAAATAGAACTTGTCACGTGGAAAGTATTAAATTTTATTTGTTTTTTTAAACAAATCTGATTGTTTAAAATATCAGTAAAGTTACAGAATACTTATATTTGCTGTAATATATATATATATATGATTTTTTCAAAGGAATTGATGGTGTTTATTTGTATGTTTGTATAATATTTTACTTTCGTGTATTAGTTCATTAATTTGCAAATACCACGACCATGTCATCATATACACGTGTGTGTAACTAGTGACTTAGAACAGGGAAAAAGCAAATAAATTTGATTTCATCAGATAAATAAGCACAACATTTAATTTTTCATAATATATTTGTGTTTTCAACCATGTCAGTCTGCAGCTTTGACGGATAGTACATTCATAATTAGGACATTTTGCTGAATAGACAGGAATTTAAACAGTTAAGATTTTATTCTTTCATAGCAGTTACTACTTTTATTGTACGTGTTGTGCTGCGGTTATTATTGCATTAAGTAGGCTGTTTTGTAAGACTGTATAGTGTTTTAAAAACACGTCAGAATGAGCTACTCTATATGCAAATAATAGCTTTAACGAACCTGAAGAAAAATTGACACAAAAAAATTGGCAGGTAATTGTCTTTAGTTTATGGATGAAGATGTATTTTGAGTGAAATTCATAATTTTATGTGTCACTAATAGCATATATCAAATGCTTGGTAAAATAATGTCATTTTGTTGCCATGGGTAAAAGTAATGTATATAATTATATATATTATATGTATTGAATGTATTATACGTAATATTATATATATTGAATGTTGCTAGAAAGTGAAATAATAATTAATAAACAATGATATTTTATATTTATTTTTTTGGTAACTTCACTTTAATGAATGTGTTTTAGTAAACACAGTTTTAAAGCTTCTCCATGAATATTATATACATTTCACCATTGTAAGAGGCTTAACTGTATTTCTGTGGTTTGCTGACCCAAGCTGTGTTGATGAGCCTTGAATAGGTAAAACTGCAGTGTACAACAGAGGATTCAGTGAATCAAGGAATGCATTAGGCCTTTACGTCACAGATTATATTTTCAATTTTACCTTTGATGAACTGAAAATAAATCTGTAATGTAATAATTAAATAGTTGGTTCACTGTACTGGGTGCCCCAGAAGTCTGGACCCATAGGGAAAAACACACAGTTTATTCTTTAATGTATTTATTATTCAAATTGCATGCCATTACCAGCCATACACATGTCAATTCTTGGTATACTGTGACATCAGGGTATTTTATTTCCTGAAATATGTACAACTGACATTAGAAATGTGTTTGTTGAACTTTAAGTATATAATGTCTATTTTCCCTATTGGTCCAGACTTCTGGGATACCTTGTATAATACTGAATAATAAGTTAGGTGCAATGTCATGATATCATTCAGATACATAAATTTATTGAAGTTACTATACAGTGACTTAAAAATCCCATAAATAACATAAAGTAACTTAACAAGAACTTACTGTTGGTATTCTATAAAGAAATGTTATTGATCTTCTTGATTCACTCAGTAATTAAAATTAAATAGTCAACAAACAAGCTCCTGCACATTGGGGTCAACATTTGAGGATACAGAAGTGATTTAAGTAGTCAAAGAACAAGCTCCCATAGATTGGGATCAACATTTGAGGATACAGAAGTGATTTAAATAGTCGACAAACAAGCTCCTGCACATTGGGGTCAACATTTGAGGATACAAAAGTGATTTAAGTAGTCAAAGAACAAGCTCCCATACATTGGGGTCAACATTTGAGGATACAGAAGTAATTTAAATAGTCAATGAACAAGCTCCCATACATTGGAGTCAACTTTTGAGGATACAGAAGTAATTTAAATTGTCAATGAACAAGCTTCAATACATTGAGGTCAACATTTGAGGATACAGAAGTGATTTAAATAGTCAACAAACAAGCTCCCATACATTGGGGTCAACATTTGAGGATACAGAAGTAATTTAAATAGTCAATGAACAAGCTTCAATACATTGGAGTCAACTTTTGAGGATACAGAAGTAATTTAAATTGTCAATGAACAAGCTTCAATACATTGAGGTTAGCATTTGAGGAAACAGAAGTGATTTAAATAGTCAACAAACAAGCTCCCATACATTGGGGTCAACATTTGAGGATACAGAAGTGATTTAAGCATTTGTAAAAGGGGAAACATTTTAACCAAATTAGCTATTTGATCTTTTTTTTTTTTTGTTACAGGTTTTTAAACCTATTGAATGTATGATGAAATAGTTGAATTGATAGCTTTGTTAACAATAAAACTATATTCCTTAATATGCTCTTTAACTTGTGCTTTGTCTATTTTATATCTTCAAAAGTCAGTGCAGTCCACACTACAGTTTATTGAGAAATAAAAGTTTTTTAGTCTCTGCCCCCAGTGACACAGCAGTATGTCTGCTGACTTACAATGCTAGAATCTGGGTTTCGATACCCGTGGTGGGCAGAGCACAGATAGCCCATTGTGTAGCATTGTGCTTAATTACAAACAAACGATTTTTATTCTCTCTAATGTAGCACAGAAAAAACAATCCTACAAAAATAGGATATTTCTCCATGCTTTGAAGATGAAATAAAAAATTTCTTATTATTAAAATAAAATTGCATTAGAAATATTGGAAACCTGTGTTAAAAGATGATGTATATTTATCCCCAGAAAGCATGAATTTGGGGTTTAATACAAGGTGAAGCAACTATATATACAGAAATAAAACTGTCAATGTATAAGTCATATTTGGAGTACAGGATTCAGTCTTGGGCTCCTTACCTTAATGGCACTGAAATCTTGGAAAAAGTTCAGTGGAGAGCTACTGAGATAACACCTGGAATGGAAGGGTTGTCATACAAGGATAGGTTAAGATCCCTGAACTTGTTTTCTCTTGAAAAAAAGAAAAATTCAGAGGAGATTTTAAGATTGATAGGGTTGATGCATCATCTTTTGTCATACTAGTGGTAAATATAGGGGAGACGAGTATAAATTTTGGCAGGGTAGACATCACCTTTGGTTTAGACAGGTTTATTGTTCTAATAGGATGGTTGACTTTTGAAATGGTTGTCTTCAGGTGTGGTAGATACAGTTAATTTAAGGGAGTTTAATGAGAGACTGGATAAATATTTGAATGATAAGGGGTGGATTGTATTTTGTAGTTTAGTATAGTGGATGGAATGGCCCAACAAGGTTGTATATTTCATTCAGAACATCGTTTTTTATTTTCAACATTGCATTCTGAAGCAAACAGTAATTAAGTTGATGTTATTTGTCTGCATAATATTTTCTTTAGTACCAATTAAATAATAAGATTTGCTCCACTCTGTACTCCAGGAACTTAGATTCTACATGCAGTTACTCAAAAATTAATCTAGTTCTTGTTGAATATGAAAGAATAATTTACCCAGTGAAGTTGTAAGACAAAATGTCCACCAATAAATATACACATCATGGAGATAAAGGTAATATATTATTATGGTATATAATGCCTTATGTTGATGAAGTGTGATAAGTGGTTTTTGTGTGGGGCTATAGCCTCAACAACTTTACAGGTGGGCAACAATTACAAAGACACCAAAGCTTAAGAGAGCGAATTTATAAATATCTTTAAAATTATCAGTATCATTACACACACAGACATATATATATATATATTTATACACATTCAACAGTTATATTTTATAAGTTACATCATTATTTAGAATTTTAGCCCTTGTATTTTTTCACCACAATTAGTGTATCATGGAGGAAGGGCACCACTAATGTTAAATTACTGAGATAGCAAAAAGAGCTGAGACCTTAACAATGAATCCTAAAGCACCCATCTTGTGACATTAATCCAGTTTGTCATTTTTCAAGAGGAAACAGTTTTGGAGATCTTAACCTTTTCAAAAATACATCCTTGTTAGAATGTATTTAGTGGATAAAAGTTAAAATAGCAAATGCTCTGTCTGGTAAGAAGATCTTGCTAATGGAATTGTTTGTGTGATTACATTCTAAACATAATTTCTGGACGTACTATGGCTAAGTCAAAAATGTTATATGCTAGTTTCATAAAAGCATAAAATAGCCATTGTTGCCTGTTGATACTATTTAGCTATACAGGTTAGATAAGATTTAAGTTTACTTCATCGTTTTCCATAACTACTGAGTGTCTCTTAGTAAATTTAGATCCTTTCTGTGGATCTGGGAGGGTCAGGTTCTTTTTAAACCTCTTCCTCCCACCTAAACTATTATTAATTTTAAGCTTGACTATAGTAATTAGCGTGCTAGTAATGGATTCATTTGTATTTTCTGGTACCTTTTCAGGACCATGTATTTTGTCGAATTGCTGATATTATATGGTCTGGATATGAAGGATTTGTTTGCCTTTTTTAGCCCTGTGTAGTTGTGTTCTGCGGGGTTTGTATTACTTAGTTTACGAATAGTTGTATTATGTGAGGTAGTAATGGTGTGAAATGTTGTTTGGCAATTGCTATGAATAATGTGATACAGTCGTCTTGATTTTTGGGGTTTCGGTATTGTGTGATAAATTCAAATAAAGTATTTTTGGTTGCATTTGTAATTAGGTTTACTGTTTGTTCATGGCTTGTATGTTGTTACGTTATAATATTTGTGGGTTGTGTTTGATTCATTTGTTTATTGATTTTGTGTTTGTGTGCATGCTGCCTATGCGTATGTGTAAGATGTAGACTGCACGTTCGTGTTTCTGGTTTCTGTAGTTTTAGGTGTCAGTAATAAGGGTGTTTTTTCTGTTCTGTTTACGTTTGCTTCCGGGTACTGTGTGTGTGTGTATCGTTTGGATTTGAGTTGTTTTGTATATTAAAAATTCGTGTTTTGATGTCCTTATACTTAGGATATCCTTTGTAATTTGCTGTGTGTTGCTGCTGGCAGTTACAGCATTTTGGTTCTATGTGTTCTTTAGGGCAGTATGAATTGCGGTGCACTTCCCCACAGTCCACACAGCATGGGAGAGCTTTACATGCTGCCGCTACATGTTCATAACATTGGCAGTTGTAACACTGGGTTATAAAGACTGCTGGTGTTTTCGATTCTGAAGCTCTGATACCAGAGAATGATACCTTTCGATATCTTGTGATTCGTGTTTGAATACTAATGATACCTTACGATACCATGCTCTAAATATCTTGTGATTCATGTTTGTGTACTTTAATCATGTTCGTGGGTTTTTTATGTTTTGCTGGAGATAATTCGTTCAGTTTTATGTTTTTGTGTGTTACTTAATTTCCAATTCGTTATGTTGTCATGCTTGTATATATATCCTTATTTCAAAGGATTTAGGATAAGGTCGTGTTCCCGGTATGTATATATTGATACTTAGACTAGCAGTATTATGAATTTGTAAAAAATATGACGACGTTTTGCCATCTAGTGCCGATTACTTAAACTATCTTTAGTGAAAGCTATCGCAATTAAAAAGAAAGAAATATAGTTATTTTCGTATTTTTAAGTAATATTGCAAATGCGCACAATTTTTATAAAGTTATTTTTGGTGTAAAATATGGAAAATTATGACGGTGACTCAAAAGACTGTTATTGGTTATGTGTGTTTCTAATTGCTCATATCGTGTTTATGGGAAATGTCATGATTATACTACATTTTTCATAATTGACCAGCTTAGTATAACGGATAAAGCTACTTAGCTTGATAAAATTCAACATTGCTCTAAAGAGTCGAAATTATTGCAATTAACTATTTCAAATATTTGCATGAATCTCTTGGCCCCTTGTTTGTGTTCGGCCCATATTCGAGATTGCCATGTTTTGGGGAATATTTTTATTTTCAGATACACCACACTGAATTCACATTTCATAGAACGATAAAATTTAATATATCAAACAAACTTTTTGTGGCAGTGACTACTTAAAATTTATTTTCCATTAAGGAAGTTAAAATGCTGAAGTTCCCATAATCCCTAATAAAGTGTGCGCGTGCTCAGTTTATTAGCATCATCGTCTGCTACTTCACTGTTGTAGTTATATGCTTGAATTAACCAACATTTGAAGCGAGAGAAAGTTCTTTCAAGTTTGACTCAATATTTTAAGCCTAAAGTTATACTTCACTGAACTGGTAGGTATATTTTGATGTTGTGAGTAGCGATTTAGGGTTACTACAACTTACAATTAGTTTTTATCGTGGATGTTTTTAGCGCTGTGCGCACAAGGTAGCTAATCTTATGTTTTTGTCCTAATTAATTCACACGTTCACTGTGGACTGGGCTTCAAATAGGGCTAAAATAAATGATTTTAAGTGCATGGGAATATGAGCTTAACTCCTAGACTGTCTACCATTACTAGTATTAGTAATAATATTACTTCGTCCGTTACATTAACTAGTAGCAATTTCATATTAAATGTATATAAAACGTGGAAATAAATCTTAAATCAAAGAGAATTTTTTTCTGAAACAAAGAACAGCAATAGAGGAAAGAGAAACAATAATGAGTTTTTTAAGTTCTAACTCAGAATTACAATTTTAATCACACTAAGCCTAACCTGTATACATCAAGGCCTATATAGAAATTGTAGCCAAGACATATCAAGATAATTTTGGAATGATTAGTTGTTTTTCAGGCATATCTCTCCTTTTTTAATTAAAACACATTACTTGTGTTTATAATTTCTCTTAATCGTGTTTATGGTAACTTTTATGGTTATACTACAATTTCACAAATGGCAAACTTAGCTTCACAATTAAAGCTGTTTACCTCGATAAAATTCAATGATACTGTAGAGCTGGAAATAACTGTAATGAGAAATAAAATTAGGTTGTGCTGAAAAAGGAAATCTCTGACATTCGCATACATTTTAATGCAATAATTAGTAAATTACACCCTTAGAAAGATAACCGCATTCTCTAGCGGATGAAATAAACTAATCAAGGAATAAATTTTCTTTTCTTTTTTTACTGATATGAAAATAGCTACCGAAGATTTTATTTTATTTTAAATAGGTAACATAGATTAATAGTATTTATTTCACCTTCTTAATGTACGCGATTTGCATAGATCTTTAATTTAGGAAAATGTCTTAACTATTTCGCAGGAAATTACAATCCAAAAACACAGAATATCGTGAAACCGCGAATATGTCTAGCCCTTAAATTCCCAGAAGCAGATATAAATAAACATCAAATATGACCTATCATAATTTAATGAAATTTCAATTTGCATAAATTAACTGTGTTTTTACTGGTTGTAAGTTATCCAGGAAGCCACATCAGTGCTTTATTCTTACTGGAAGCTGGTCAGTTTTGCAATAATAAATGTACTTTAATAGAATAATAGTAGAAGAAGCGTTTGAACTTGTGTTATTTCTCGGTCTGGTAGAAATTAGTTTTTGTTTTAGAGCAAAGCCACATTGGGCTATCTACTCTGGCCACTGCGAAGAATCGAACGCCGGATTTTAGCGTTATAAGTTCATAGATTTACCGTTATTCCACCGGGATATAGTAGAAATAAGAAACCAAATATTGTTCTTTTGAAATCTATGGTTCAAAGAACAATTTCGACTTGTGGCTTTCAAACTAAAGATTCACTATGTCATGTACGTTGTAAGTAATGTTCTCTATGAAATTAGTACGACTCTGGAGGAGTGGCAACTTGCATGAATAATGGGCTTCAATTATCAGTATTACATTGCCTCAATGTGAAGCGTGGGACGCGATACAAATGAAAGGATATTATAAAAAATAAATACATCGGTAAACTGTAATAAATTGAAAAATAACGGTTTTTAATCGTACGTGCTTCGATAAAACTGGTAATTTATTACCCAATTAGGGATGTTAACTTGGATAAGTATTTTTCTTTAACTTCCACATGTGCGGAAACTTCACAAGGAAAGCTGTGTAAGGAGTTAGAAGTTCTCTAAGCATTAAAAGCATTGAATAATTTATGTGTTTTGAAAGTTAGGGCTTCTAAAGTATCTCGAACGTTTGTAAAATAGTGTAAAACGTAAAATAAAAAGCCAGACTGAGAGTTATAATTAATGAATTAATTCGTTAATAAGTTAAAGAGTTTCAGTGAGAGTTATTGAGTCTGTCTGTCAGCGATTCAGATAATCTATTCATAAGTGATTCAGTCATCGGGTTGGTTAGTTATTTAGTGAGTCAATTATCGTATTTGTTACCAATATATTAGCGGAGAAATTTTACACGTACGTGAGTTGAGCTTCATTTATGAGATAGGCGTACTATTAGTTTGGAATTTCCGTTTAAACGTTGTTTGTGAAGTTATGCCTACCAGTGTACGTAGCCTGTAACCTGCATTGACCATAATTGAAGAAATAAATTAATTTGCTATCGTTAAGTAGACTGGATTTCACATTATTTTTACTGAATAGTCCAAAAGAACCTGGCACATTACAATGAAAGTAACAGATTCAACAACTCAAAGCCATTTCACTGAGCTAAGGTTCACAAAAAAAAGGTTAAATCAACATGCAAAAGACCTATAATTGTCCAAGGAAGTCTACTTGAAATGATGCCACTATTTCACCATCTAAGGTAACATAAAAAACTATATATATATATATTAATATAGATCCTTATTTTTCACGGGTAAACTGAAAAACTTGAATTATAGCGAAGTTAATGGTAATGTGCATATAACGAATAAAAACCTAGCCCCAGAATATAGCAAAAGGCACTAGGAAGCTAACTTCAAGCAAGTGGGCCCGGCATGGCCTGGTGGTTAGGGCGCTCGACTCGCAGTCTGCAAGACAGATTTTTTAATTTGCCCAGGTCTCTGTGTAAGTATAAAATCTCATAGCTCTTTTTATGTTCCCTCTACAAAAGAATGCCTGTTGCAGGTAGCCATTGAAAAATAAAGGGGGAGAACATTAAATTTCTGTCCCCCATATAATACAGCAACAAGACATTAATG